CCTGCTACAGCTGAGCTAGGGAGAAATGCCCTGCAGCAGTTCTTAGCTCAGGCTGGTTTGACCCTATGACTACTTAGAGGATAGGCTGCAGTATCCTCCAAAGAACTTTCTGGCAGTTGGGTAGCACTGTGTCAATACATCCAGGGATGACTTATCCATTAGGCACAGTAGGCACAGTGCCTAGGGCCCACGATACTTTTAGGGGCCCACGAAAATGTTTTAATTTCTTTTAAAATCAGAAGAAAAAAATGAACTTTTAGGGTTGAAGAAAATGTTTTGATTTTTTTCTCACATCAGAAAAAAATGAAACTTTTAGGGCCCATGAAAATCTATTAAATTTTGCCTACAACAAAAAAAAGTATTTAAAGTTATATCAAAAATAATTTTTAATATTGATATTATTATGGTGGGAGGGGCCCATGAAGGCAAAAGTGCCTAGGGCCCACGAAAGTCATAATGAGGCCCTGACTACATCCCCTGTCCCAGAAAAAGTAATAGAGTTGAGCGAGGCATCTCCTCATGCCTGGAGAATCCCCAGGAAACTGTTAGAATCCTCTTAGAAGTTTCTTTTCACCACCAGCTTGGTGCGAGGATCTGTGCAGTGGAAGATCTGTCCTGTAATGAGCAAGGAGTGTGTGTGTGATATCATGCTCACAAGATGCATACATTAGAATGTTTCAGGAGTCATTGGCATTTCCATCAACAGTCCTAGAGCACTGCCAAGTTAGAATCACGCTCTGATAACTGGACAATCATAGCAATCCGTCAGAGGTAGGACACGGAGCAAAATAAATAGACAGCTAATCTCTCCCCCACGCCCTCCTAACCCGCCTGCTCATTTTAGTTCGGAAAGCAAGGATTTTCCACATGTCCTTTCAGTGTGAAGCAGTTCAAACCCTGCATTTTGGGATGAAGCATCCAATTTTGCTACAAGTTATAAAAATAATCTTTTATCTTTACATGACAGAAATATTTACTCAGGAAGGGTTTATGTACAGTAGGAGGTCAGCGCTCCCACTGTTTTGCCTGGAGATTTGAGCCAGCTCTTCATTTTATTTTTGACAGTTCTTTATCATGTGCGTGTGCGTATCAATAAATCATAGTTGAGCTGATTTACCGTAGTCGCAGTATGAACAATAAAACACAGCTACCCCCAGCTGGGAAGGGTGTTTCTCTTATGAGGGCTCGCTCACAGTCGAGTCTGATACTTGATGGTCCGACAAGGACCTGTTTCCACAAACAAACAACCTTCCACAAACAAACAACCGGGAAGGGTTGTTCTCTTTCAAAAACAAACATCAACCGTGTGCCTTCTGTCCCCGCCTCAGGAGCTATTTTATGCTCCGAGTAGCAATCTGTCTATGGGCAGTTCCCATTACACATGCACGCTTTCCAAAGCGATTCCTGAAATAAAGCAGAGGAATGGCATGAGATGGGATGCTGTACAGACTAAGTCGGCTACCCCCTGAAGCTTCTAAGTACTAGTGCAGGAGTGGGGACCCTAAGGCCCTGGGGCCGCCAGCTTCCCTGGATCTGACCCCCGAGGCTTAAGGCTCCCCCCTCTCAGCATTGGGGAGCCCATTCTGACACTCCAGCCCCCTCACTGCCCCACTGCAGGGTTGGAGCACACACAATCTACTAGCCTGGGCCCCCTTAGGCTCTGGTGTGTGAAGGGAATGTGGGGCGTGTCTGTCTGCTCCTCCACCACGTCAATCAGGGTTTGTTTGGTTGTTTTTGCTTCTCGCTGGTGTGCAGCCCTGACTGATTTTCCTTTGGGTCAGTGGCCTCGGACTCAAAAAAGGTTCCTCACCCCTGTACTGGAGGAGTCATTTTTTGATGCTTCTCCCTTTCCCCATTCCAGAGCTGGGAGGTGTTAATACCTCATTTCACGCCTCTCCAAACATTGCACCAAAACACGTCAGCTTGAACCAACTCCTGGGTTAGCGCCGTGATGCCAGGAGTCTAAACAAAATGTATTATCTTGTGAAGAGGCAACTCAAGAGCATGGACCTCTGTTGAGACAGGGCCACGTTCCTTTAACATTTGCTCCATGACATTTTTCTTGATAGGAGCTGAAGCTGGGAGACCAAAAAGTTTAGCTTAACCCCCTGTCAATCAATCAATCAAGCAAGCAAGCAAACAAGCAAACAAACAAAACCGCTATCCAAGTTTAACACTGATAAATTGGGGTGAATGTGCTCTTTAATTATTACTAATATTGCTGTTGTAACATTTGTTGTTGTAGGAGTTAGGGATGTAAAAGAGTAGTTGATTAGTTGACTACTCGCATTTCCATCCCCTCTTTGCTGCTTCTATGTCACTGCCTCATATAGAGGCAGAAAGGCGTGAGGGAAGGAGGAGCCGGTACTGGAGGGAACTAGTTTAAAAGCTGGTTCCCCCCCAGCCCTGTCTCCATGGTGCCGCTTCCTCCCCCTATGCTCAGACTAGGTGTGGGGGGAAGCCAGAGGAGGCTGCTCCATCAGCAGCCCTTTCCGCAGGGGGTCCCAGCTCCCTGCTGAGACCCCATGTGGACAGGGGCTGCTGGGCCCAGCGCAAGCTGGGATTGAACACGCCCAGCTCAGTCCCAGCTACCCATGTTGCGGCTCCGCAGTCTAACTGCAGTAGTAGCCAGGCTGCTTGTACATTTAAACTGCAGAGCTGCAGTGGGCGTAGCTCCTTCTGAGCACCTAGTCTGAGCACCAATTTGTATTGACACATGATTATCCAATTGCCCACCTCTTAACATCCTTAGAGGAGTATCTGTGAATGAGGGAATTAAAGAAAACATGACTGAAGTATTGTTTTCTTTGTCTTTTACTGTATGTTGTACAGCCGGTCCCTGAGTTGCAAATGGTCGACTTTTGACCGTTCGCAGTTACAACCAAAACTGTCGTAAATGGCGGACCCCAAGTTACGAACGCGATCCGTGCTTATAAACAGCGCGATCACGTGTAACTCAACGTATAACGTCCGACTTACGAACAAACCGAGTTACGACCAATTGCTTGGTCCGTAACTGGTTTGTAAGTTGGAGAGAGGCTGTACTTTATATAGAGATTTAACATCATATATCCAAGATCTTGGTAGGGATTTTTAATAATGAATAAATAATGTATCAAATGTCCTTTGTTCCTAAGGAATTCTGATTTCTTAGATCTTTGGGGGGGTTTACTTTTCTTCTTCATCACCATCACAGTTTATTATTTGCATGTGAAGAAGTCTACCTTGCAAAGACTAGGATCAAGAGATACCACCCAGAACACTCTGTCCCCTGGGTCATTGTGAGAGAGCTGCAAATCACTTCCCTTCCAAGAGGACAGCTTGTCAGATAGAGTTCAGGCAGAAAGGGAATGTCGCGTTCAGATGTTTTAGTAGAAAATGCCCCTTCTGTAACCTAGTATACTGTGACAAATGCGAAGAGGTTAAGGGACAAGAGGGTGTGTGAGACAGACAGACTTACACATGCCAGTTGGCAGATTCCATTAATAATGAAAAGCTTTTCCTAGTCTGGTGTTTTCTAGTCATTGCGCTATGGATTTTTGCAAAGCCAGGTCAGACAATGTTGCAAGTTCGTTTCTGCTATTCCTTTAAGGGATTTGATGGCATATATAACTCTTGTTCGTGATAGGGGACATTTACCCAAGTAATCCCCCTGAAGTCACATGGACTATTTGCCAGAGTTGTTGACTTGAGTCCCACGACTTGAACTCGAGTCCGATTTAAGTCGCTTAGGTGACTCGACTTGAGACTCGACTCGGGTTCACTGTTTGTGACTTGAGACTCGATACTTTCTAATTCTGTTAAAATTAGGAAGTGAAAAAATTGTCCGAAAATGGTGAAAAAATTGTCCGAAAATGCCGATATTGATGGCTTGTACAAAAGTGACTTGACATTTTTGAAATTAAGACTTGAGACTCAACTTGGGACTTGACTTGAAAGTGACTTTAGGGACTCGAGACTCGGCTTGAAACTTGAACTCTAGTGACTTGAGACTCGACTTGGACTTGACAATGACAACTTGAAGACAACATTGCTATTTGCATACGTAAGTAAGGATTGTGTAGTCAGTTCCTAAATACCTTGCTTGGGTGTTAACTTGGGTGGATTGTTAGTTCTTATTATCAGAAACTTTGTTTCATAGCTTCCTATGTGCAATGGTCAGAAAGGGCCGTTATGATCATCTAGTTTGACTTCCTATATAAAATAGACTAGAGAACTTCCCCAAAATAATTCCTACAGCAGGTCTTTTAGAACAACCTCCAGTTTTTATTTTAAAATTGTCTGGGAAGAAGAATCCACCATGACCCTTGGTCAATTGTTCCAATGCTTAGTCATTCTCGCCTTTTGAAATGAACACCTTATTTCCAGCCTGAATTTGTGTAGCTTTAGCTTCCAGCCATTGGGTCATGTTAGACCTTTCTCTGCTAGATTGAAGAGCTGATTATTAAATATTTGATTCCCACTTTGTCCATTATGGACTGTAACCAAGTTACTCCTTAATCTTCTCTTTGTTAAGCTAAATAGGTTGAGTGCTTTCAGTCTAACACAATAACACAGGTTTTCTAATCCTTTAATCATTCTTGTGGCTCTTCTCTGAACCCTCTCCAGTATATCAACAGCCTTCTTAAATTGTGGGGGTGTTAAATACAGGGGTAAAATATCTTCTCTGGTCTCCTCTTTGAGAGCCCCCTGTTTATGCATCCTAGGGTTGCATTCACGCTTTTCACATTTTACCATCTTCTCATGTTGCAAAAGGATAGGGATGTGTATTTATGTATGCTGGGTTGTAGGAGTCTGTCTACTCAAGGTCCTTTCCAGTTCTAGAATTCTGTTCTGTGGAGCTAAAGGTTCCAACCTCTGCTGATGTCCCATGCAGAGGGTCACTATAATGTCACATGATACAATTTCTGTTGTTTTTTTAAACTAGGAACTTATACACAAAAACCTGTGTTAAAATAATACCATGAAGTCAAGCACTCGGCACATCCTTTCTCTTCCAGCAATCCCCTGTCTTATTCATTACACACCTTCCAACTTCTGGAACAAAGGAAGCAAGAGGCCTACAGAAAACACTCTTCTTTATTCTGCGTTCCAAATTCACCTCCAGAGCAGGCCCATCATATGCACTGAACGAGGTAGGAGAAAAATGCTATGTGATCATGTAACGAAAGACTATCATAATGAAGATGCATGAAGGGCCAAATGAAGGTGGCACCTGCAACCTCAACTCTGGCATTTACTGTCTGCTGAAACTTGACTTAGTTACTGTAATGCACTTGAACCTCTTCAACATGGCAACCATGGGAAACAGGGTTTTACCAGGCCGGGGAGGAAATGACGGGGTTGGTGGTAGGGCGCTTTACCTGCAGCTGCTCCTGGGCATTGCCCGCTGCTGCTATGGGAAAGGCAGGAAATACGCTGCTGTTCCCCCAGCTGGGGAAGGGCAGAAGTACACAGAACCACTTCCACCTCTGCCTGCCACGATCCATCCCAAATTAGGGACACCAGGACAACAGAGGTTATAGTGTAATGTTATTTTAATGTATTTTTGTGTGTTCTATTTTGATATATTACACACTAGCTATATAAATGTTATAATTTTATATATGCATGTATAATTTTACATGAATGTGCATGTATTATGCGTACTATTATCATTCTTATATGATGTTTATAAAGGTTGCAAATCCCAACTAAAGAGCAGCACCCTTGACCATTCATTGTTACGGACACTCAGCCACCAGACTTCCAGGGCATCTGGAAAGAACCCATCATATAACAATGATTACTTGCGCCTTGTCAAAATGAAACAAGACCAGTCCTGAAAAAAACAAATACAAATACCAAAGAGGAAGGGGCAGTACGTTTGAATAGGTTTGTAACCTGCCATCTGAGTTAATACAAACCCTTTACTTCTACTCCTCCAAGAATGAGTTAGCTTGAGCACTTATGATTATATTTGATAACATTTAAGTAATATCACAGAATAGCTCTCTGAGGGGTTGCCATGTTGTCTGCAAGGACAACCAGGAGGTACCTTAAAGATTTATTTGGGCATAAGCTTTTGTGGGTAAAATCCACTTTGTCAGTTGCATGGATTTCCTCTAGGATTTCCACTCTATGCATCTGACAAGGCAGTTTTTACCCTCGAAAGCTTATGCCCCAATAAATCTGTTAGTCTTTAAGGTGTCACAGGCCTCCTCATTGTTTTATAAAATATCTCTTCCTTAACTGGACCCTTTTTCCAGGTCTAATTTGTTACTAACTGACAAAACTCGGAATCTTCTTGGTATCAAAGTGGAAACCGACATTTTTATGCTTAAAGCTAAACAAAAAAGGCATTTGGTGTGCAGAGCCCTAGGGGAGCTCTAGCCATGGAGCAGGGACCTGCCGGCTGGAGACTGGTAGTGTCAGGTTATTGTACAAACATTACCTTTGCAAATCCCTGATGTGGTGAGCAAGTTAAGCAGTGGAGACAGTTTGCCCAGTAGTTTGACCTCTCACCTCTGCTTTACTAAATAGACCTAATTACTGCGTTTGTCTGTCATTCGAGCAACAAATGATTCCATTGAGGTCATCCAAGGAAAGCCAGATTTCTTAGCTACCCTCTCATGAGAACTCTGTTAATTTTATTCTGCAAAGGAAGGACGTATGTGAAATTTTGCAGGGAGATTCTATTACAATCTTATGTTTCCTGGTAAGGAGTGGGTCAGAGGCACTAGTAGCAAGGACACCAGCAAGTTAGGAAAGTATAGTAAATGTTGTTATCTCACAATCCGCTTTGTGATTAATATATCGTATGGGTTATTCATAATGGATTGCATTTATTCATATAGACAGGGCTAGCCCAAGTCTAAGCACAAGGACCTGTAGAATAAAACACTACCCCCTCCCAAATCGAAACAAAAAAACCCAGAGTTTAGTTGTTTTTCTTGGGCTTTGCTATTTCAAACTTTGTGAAAATTCCAAAAAGGTTGATCACTTCTGCAGTTGTTCAGAACACAAACGTAGGTACAAAGCACTGTTTTTTAAAATATTCCTCCCAACTTCCATACTTCATAATTGTGAGTCCAGGAGCGACCCTAGACGAGCTGCCGGCAACTGGTGCCGTAGGCGAAATGCGCCATCGGCGCATGATCGGCGCCCCCGCCTCCAAAGCCCTCAACGGCCATTTATCTTGGTACTCTAGACGATCGCCTAGTTCGCCTGTATTGACGGGCCGCCACTGGGTGAGTCACAATTCTTGGAGTGTTTGGTCAAGCACCAGTCCAGCCAACTGGGAACTTCCCACCTACTTCTGTTTTCTCTCCATATCACACATCCCTCTTCCCATTCCCTCGTTCAAGTCACTGCTAACCCAGTATAGTTCCTTCAGCTTGTAGAGCAGGAGCAGGAGTGGGGAACCCTTTTTGTGTTGGGGGCCTCCAACCCACAGAAGAATCAGTCAGAGGCCACACACAAGTGAGACACACTGACATGGCCCCCAGCGGAGATGCAGAAAGACTCTCCCCACATTCCCCTCACACACCAGAGCCTAGAGTTTGTCTGCAACAGCCCTGTGGGGGGATACAGCCCTGTGGGGGGGCTAGAACACCAGAATGGGCTCCCCAATGCTGGGATGGGAGGCCACATCAAAGCAAGCCAGGGGACCACATCTGGTCCCCGGGCATTAGGTTCTTCACCCCCTGTTGTAGAGATAAGCGCATCTTCAGCTTCATCCCTTCCAAATTGTTGCAGATATCTCTGCAGGATTTCTTCCATTAGAAGGGCACAGTGACAAACCTTCTCTCAAATGGGGTGATTGCACTGTTTCCCCATTTTACAATGGACCCAGTCTCCAGAGGATTTCCAAACCCACCGTATCCAGCAAGAATAGCTATTTTTGCAGAAAGTTGCCCTTTTAGACCCAATCATGTAAATGCTCAACTCCTGGGACTCCTATCGAAGTCAATTACAGTTGCACTTGCAAGATCAACCTTTTTTTTCTTGGGTGTTGAAAGATGTTGTTTTGATCTGAAAATTGTTTGAAGCTATAGAACAAGATCCCATTTTGTTCCTATGATTTGAATACTAGCAATGCTGAGCTCATGCTGTGTTTATTGCCATCAGTGAATGGCTTGGAGTATTTGATTTGCTATATTCTAGAGTGTTTGACTGATTGAACACATTTTTTATCAGTCTCTTGAGTTCCATTCCTGTTCTCTTAGGTCTGCCCAAGCTGAACAATTCATTATTGTTATAATTATTAATCATTCTTTATGACTAATAATTGTCTACACTACAGAGTTTTCTCAGAAAAAACGACCATTTTTCTGACAAAACTTGAGGAACGTCCACCCTGCAATCTCAGTCTTCCGCAAGAAAATTGAAAGAACAAATGGGTTTTCCGACATTGATAATCCTCGTTCTACGAGGAAGAAGCCTTTTTGTGAAAAAGCTCTTTTGCAAAAAGGCGTGTGTGGACGGGGAAGAGGGAGTTCTTTCAAAGAAGAGGAAAGAGGAAAAAGCACAGGTGCTGTGGTGGCCACTCTGTCCATAGCAATCACAGCTTAAATGTGAGAGAGCGTCCATTCAGTCTGCATGCTCTCTTTCAAAAAAGCAGATCCCTTTTTTGATGCACTTTTCAGTGCGGACGCTTTCATTTGGAAGAAGGTTTTTCGGAAGATCTCTTCTGAAAAAAGCTTCTTCCGAAAGAAGCCTGCAGTCTAGACGTAGCCCAGGAGAGCTTGTGATTTCCTTTTCCTTTCCTTTTATGTCTTTGGCAACTGTTTTCCTAAGGCGGGGGAGACCTCTTCACTTCATATTCATCTTCCTTGATGGCTGAGAGTAGAAGACAGTCCCGACCTCCAGTGAACATGGAGAGAGGAGAGTGTTGTTCTGCGGTAATTCTTTGGTGTGTTTTCTCAAGGAGGGAATCATTCTGTTTTAGCACCACCTCACATTTCACACTTCGTTAAAAAATTATGGATGAGATTTAAAAAAAAAAAAGATTGCCTGGAGCGAAGTTCCTAAATCCATTTTTAAGCACCTACATAATTGGCCTACTTTTCAAAAGTGTTGGGCAACCACCAGATGCCACTGAAAGCAGTGGGAGAACTGAGATTTTGTGGTGAGCACATGATGCTGACTCATACCAGCCATCGCAGAGCTCTCATTTTCAAAGTTTTGGATCCCAGACCAGAGAACTCATACAGCTTGGTGTAATACTTGTGTGTGTTCAAATGCAAGATAATTTTCAGTGTGAACTCTCAATCCCAAAATGGAAATAAGGTTTGTACAAAACACTTCAAATCAAACCCGTTTGGCAGAGTTTTCAACCCAACTCTATTGGAACATGGTTCATTCCCCAAAGTGCTTGGAAAATTTCATGCCATGAGGGAAAATGCTGTGGAGCTCCTATTGATATTAATCGGAATAGTGAAGCAATGGACAATCTAGGTTAGTGAGAGGGTCGCATGAGTGGCCCTTCTTCATCTCAAAGGGCCACAAGATTGTCATAACCAAGACAGTCTCCCAGGTTAAGGTAATCTTGCTAACTGTGCTTGTGTACCTAGAACTTAAGGAGTGTACCAGTTGAACCGTAGCAGCGCTATGATTGGATTCAGAGGGAGCGCATGGCTCTCTCAATATTTTGTGCAACAGCTCACATCATGGATCCTTGCTTTATGTGTGTGTCACGTTAGTAATGTCAGTAGGAAAAAAACCTGAGGATGGAAACCAGCGGTGTCGGGCAACAGCAAACAAAATGTCTCACAGGCCACACATAGAACTCAGATGGACAGGTTGTCCACCACTGGAATAGTATGTGTGAACAAAAGGCAGCCAGAAGACCACAGAGCACACTATGGGTACGAGCACACTACACTGCACAGTTATTTTGGAATTAGCTATTCCGGAATAGTTATTCCGAAATAGCTTATTTAGAAATAGCACGTCTATACTGCAGGGAAACCTCAAAATTAGTCTGAGGCAGGCTTCCCTAATGTAAACGTGCTATCTCGATTTAGAGTTCCAGGAGGAATAACTTAGAATGGCCCTGGTGAGGGGCTATTTCGAAATAGCAGAAGCGGAGCATCTACACACGCCTTATTTTGGAATAGGCATTATTCTTTGTAGAATGAGGTTTACAGAAACCGGAGTGAGCTGTCCGTTATTTCGAAATAATTTTGAAATAGTGGAATTGCTGTGTAGACACTCTCATAGTTATTTTGGAATAATGACTGTTATTCTGAAATAACTTTGCTGTGTAGACACACCCTCTGTGACCTAATAACAATACCTAGCCTTTATATAGTGCTTTTCATCAGTAGATCTTATAGAACATCACTGATAGACTAGTCAAGGTAGACTGGAACCCTACCAAATGAAATCCTTCAAGGAGGATGTTGATAGAATGGGGAGGAGTCAGAGAAGAGTCACGAGAATGAATAAAGGTTTATGTACCATGATATAAAGACGGACTCTAGATGCTCAATCTTAGCTTAACAAAGAGAAGGTTACGGGGTGATCTGAGAGAAAGGTAGAGAAGGGTATACTACAATCCAGTAGTTGAAAGTTGAAGCTAGACAAATTCAGACTGGAAATAAGATATAATTTTTCAATGTTGAGTGGAATTAGCCATTGGATCAATTTACCCAGGGTTGTGATGGATTCTCCATCACTGACAACTTTAGAATGGAGATTGGATGTTCTTCTAAAAGATTTGCTGTAGGAATTATTTTGGGGACGTTTTCTGGCCTCTGTTATTCTGGAGGTCAGACTAGATCAGTGGTGGGTAAATACTGGCCAGCAGCTGGGTTAGCCCCTGGCAAGCTGCCATTGCTATATTTACCTGAGGATCTGCAGGTACAGTTGATTGCAGCTCCCATGGGCTGCGGATCTCCATTCCCGGCCAATGGGAGCTGCGGGAAGCAGTTCACACAGGGAAACCACTTCCTGCAGCTCCCATTGTCTGGGAATGGTGACCCATAGCCAATGGGAGCTGCAAGCAAGTGTATCTGCAGAGGTGCTGATAAATACAGCAGCGATGGCATGCCAGGGACTGACCCTGGCGAACCGCCATTGTCTTATTGCCCACACCTGGCTTAGAAGATCATAATGGTCCCTCTTGATCTTAGAATCTATGAAAGTGTGAAAAGCTGATAATAAATGTAGATACTCTTTTAGGAGCTCTCAACAGTCTGTTACCCACCGTATAGTCATACAGAGGCTGCAACATACATAATAAGGTTTTACTCATATAGAGCCTATTCTCTGTGGATCTCAAAGGATGAGACTACACTGCACCTATAGCTCAAAATAAGCTACACAATTTGAGCTAAATAGATTGCTTAGCTTATTTCAAGTCAATTTTGAAATAGCTTATTTAATAATTTAGCACTATCTACACAGAGCCAAATTTTGAAATAACCCGCTATTCCAAAACATCCCTTACTCTTCGTTGAATGAGGTTTACTGGGACATTGGAATAGTGGGCCCATTATATTTCAAAATAATGGGCTTGCTGTTAAGGTGCTGGGTAGCTATTTTGGAATACTGGAGGTATCCCAAAATAGCGCTGCTGTGTAGACATAGCCAAAGTGTTTTACAGACATTTATTGATTCCTCACAAAACCCCTAGGACAGAGTTTCTTAAACTGTGTTTCGTGGCACACTGGTGTGCCATGAGGCAATTGGAGGTGTGCCATAGAGAACAACAGCATTCCAAATGGCCGCCCTTAATAGGACAGGTTTCCCTCAATAACTTTCCCCCTGTCCTTTTTTCCCCCCCGACTATTTTTTTTTTTTTTTGCTCAACCAAAGATCCTTGGTGTTCCTCATTAAAAAAAAATATTGTTTAGTGTTCCTTGGTCTTAAAAAGTTTAAGAAACACTGCCCTAGGGGAAATAGTATAGCCCTTTAAACTGCATCCATTTTACAGCTGGAAAAACTGAGTCACAGACAAGTTAAGTGACTTGCCCAAGGTCACTGGCAAAGTCAGGAGTAGAACTCAGGAGTTTTGACCTTTGCCTAGCTGCTCTGATTTCTTATTTACTCTCCCTTCCTTAGCGTTACTATGAATTTCTTGGGCCAGATTCTTCCCCTCTTGCTCACCTTGATTAGCACATTACTGTGCGAATAATCCCATTGATTTCAACGGGACTCGCTATCAGAGTAACGTGCTACTTAACTCAAGTAAACTCCTATTCATTAACAGACACGCTAATTTCTTCCTTTGGCAAGAATTCCATTTGCACTGATGTTCTCTTCCAGCCCATACAATCCCCTCTGCTTCTTGAGTCTATGCCGTACAGGTCAGTGCCATTTCCTATGAACTTGAATGGAGATTTTCCTGGGAAAACTTGCTTTCCTGTCAGATTTCCAACTGTTGATTTTCCCTGAGGAAAGTCAAATTATCCTTCAGCATTGTATCAGCAGATGTATGAAAAAACTGATCAGTCTCACAAGAAATGTCCAAACCAAATGGCTTCCTGTATTCTCAGTGCTGGGTATGGTACGAAACAAATCCCAGACTATTTTTCTTTTGCAAGTGAAAGGGCCAGTGTGAAATCAGGCATTGACCTCCACAACCTTGGAAAACAATTGTGATTTGGCGACTTGACCTTCTGCCGTCTATTGGGGATAGAGGCCAGTGGCCAAATTTAGAACAGTTCAGAGACACAACTAAATTTTTAACCATTTTGTAGGGAGTGTGTCAGAGGCAGTACGGAACTTGGCACAGGGTGTGGGACAGAAACTGAGCTCATTTACCTTGGTGTAAATCCAAAGGAGCTCCACTGAAGCCAACAGCACTACAAAAACTTTGAAAATTTGGGAGGTTGAGAACACAGGCTATTATGCTGACCAATACTAGCTCATTGTTTCCTTGTGCACAGCTCTCTGTCAGTATCCATCTGTTGTCTGTTTCCCTGTATTAGATTGTGATCTGTTTCAGGGAAGAGATTGTCTTTTTATTCAGTGTTTGTATATCTCTAGACTATGATGGTAATATTATATTTCTGGCTCTACACTGACGTACTACTGAAATCACAATTCTGTTTCCTTAGTAGAGAAGGAGTTCACAATAGGCACTAAAAATGGAAAACAAGAGTCCATCAAACATTTTGATCTCCAGACTTTGATCAAGCCATGGTGGGAAAAAGCTTCTTTAAGGGCATGTCTACACTAGGAAATGATTTTGAAATAACTCCCAAAATAATTATTTTGAAATTAATGTTCTTCCCCGAGGAAAGCAGGAGTGCAGATTTCAAAATAATCAGCCTGTTATTTCGAAATAACGGGCTTGGTAGTGTGGATGCTCCGCTTATTATTTCAAAATAAGGGGAATTATCTCAAAACGACTCCGTAGTGTAGAGCTAAACTGGACTAATTGGTAACATTTTTAAAACTGGATTCTTCCACTGATTCACCTCCAGGAATATGGATGGTGGTTAGTACTGTACCTATGTTAAAACTACAGAATATGCATATTGTGTGTAATATGGTGTTCTACAGTAAAGATACAAAACTGCAGCTTTTGTTAGTGTTGCCACACTGTTTTGAGATCTTACTGGAGAAAATTTAAGGTATTTTTAAATAAGCCTATTTAGGCACATTGATAGCTGTAATAAACAAGGCACAAATCTGAAACTTTCTAAGATGTATTTGCAGGTTGTGTTACCAAAAGTCCCCAGTTTGCAAGATATGTAAACCCATGCCGCACTTTAAGCACATTACCAGGCTGTTGAAGTCAATGGGACAATTCACATGCTTAAAGTGAGGCACACATTAAACACCATGCTGAATTAAGGCCCACATGAAACTTTTCCTTTTTAACCGGTGCAGATAATAAAAAAGCCCCTGGCTGAGTATCTAGCGCTTTTCCTCGGCAGATCTCAAAGCGCATCATAAAGATGGGTAAGGATCATTCCCCCTATTTTACAGATGCACAAATTGAAGCAGAAAGCCTTGAAACCCCACAGCCAAGAACACGGGACGGGGCAAGGTACAGGCAGGAATAGACCTGTCCCTTATTTTCTGAAGGTTTAGTTTAACACTAGGGCTGTCAATTGACCTGCATTAAAGCCTGCGATTAATGCAAGACAGGATTAACGCATTCATTTTTTTAACGTGTTAATCATAGGCCTTAATGCTGCGCTGTCCCTTTGAAGTACTGCTCCGGTGCTTTAAAGGAGCAGCACATTAGGAGCAGCACTTCAAAGGGGCAGCACAAGCTGATCCCCGGCTCCTAATGCACTGCCCCTTTAAAGTGCTAAAATGGCGTCCCCAGCTGATCCCAGGCTCCTAATGCACTGCCCCCTGGAAACGCTTTCACGGTGCTTCTAAGGGGCAGTGCTGCATGGAGCCCACGGTCAGCTGGGGACTCCAGCTGATCCCGGGCTCCATGCAGCGCTGCCCCTTGAAACGCCACTGTGGTGTTTCAAAGGGAGGCACGCGCAATTAATCGCACAATTAATCACGATTAATTTTTTTAATCGCGTGATTAATCACGATTACTTTTTTAATCGCTTGACAGCCCTACTTTAACACTGCCGGAATCCAGGCAGTGATAAGAATCCAGGAAGTGATTGTTCATTGAATACTTGTAACATATGCACTGAACTGTACCTAGTGATTGGGTGTCAGATAGTAGATCCAGAGAGAGAGGGAATAAATAGGAAGAGAAAAGCCCTGCTTTCTCTTGCATTTCATTTATGATTAATTCAGTGTGTACCATCTCTCTGCCTCGAAGCCCTTACTGTTTATGTATCCGCTGGTTTTCCAGCGGAGAGTGATACCCTGCTCTCAATTCTGCATTTTTTTTCCCTTATAAAGGCATTTCTCCCTTTTCAGCAGCGAAACCACTGGTGACTGGAGTGTCTGTGACCTTTGGGCTGCCAAACTCCCACTAACTAAATAAAAGCAGCCCAAGAGGGAGAGAGTTAGCATAAATCACCTCCCTTGACAGAGACCACCTGGTATACACTCACTGCATGGAGGTACCCAGTCTGTCTGAAGCTGCTGACTTTGCACTATGGTGCATTTTATGGACACCGCTGGGGAGATACATGGTGTTTACACAAGGAATGGAAAGTTCGGTTTTACTGAATGTATCTGACTTCCCTAGCTAGCTGGGGGCAGTTCTTTCACAAGCTAAATAAAGAGAATGGAGAAGCTGATGGTGCCTCTAATATTCATTCAAACTAATGGGGAAATGATGGTGAACTTTCTCAAATGTGATGTGCAACAGGCATTTGTGAACCTTTCAGATCTATCTCCTCTCACTAATAGGGTTCCTCCGAGACTGTCATTGGTTAAGACCAGGTGGAGGAGAACAGTTTAATATCCATTACAGGACTAAATCCTTCTTAACAGCAGGGAGATGGACTCAGTCAGCTAGGTCTACTCCATCTCTAACTACCATGATCTCACAAAATCTGTATTTATCAGTGTTCGTGTCGCTCTCAATACAGAAGTGCAATGCTGTGGGATTCAAACTCTACCCTAGAACCTCACCATCACCCTGGTAAAGGACAATATACAAGAGATGGTACAACAGTGTCAGAACACAAGTTCTACAGGTGCAACATTATAGCTGGCCTTGTGGAGGTGTAAGTTAAAGGCCTGGTAGCTTGACTTAGAAAGAGCAAATACAATGCTGGTGTTTCCCTCAGAGAAAGACTAATGTTGTGGGAATGTCTTGTGTTTTCCTAGGTATGCATGAACAGCTCCCATTAGCACCACGGTGGGGTGAAAAGAGGTCCGGGGCATTGTTATATTACCGGTAATGCTATTTTTTTCATTCTTTCCTTCCATAACATCAGTGATGATAATAATAATATGAATTCTACAGCTTTCCGTGCTCCAGGACCCTTAAAAAATGTTTTTTTTTAAATGACAAAAATTATAACAAAAAAAAGACACTTGCAAAACAGTAACAGCTAATATAAATTTAAGGAGGTCTAGGATACAAAGACAAAGCAGGAAAATGAAGTGGAAGAAAAGGATACATGCATAAGGCTGTCAATAATCATTTCAACAAACACCCTTAAAGGGGTGGGGAATAGTTTTAGGCAAAGTTGCTACAAATGGGGACTGGGAGGGGAGTTTCCCATCCTTTTCCCCATTTTGTTTTAAATTTTAAAAATGTTAACCGTAGCTGGCTGAAAAATAGCAAGGAAGTCTGAACATTTTACCAAAACTCCCCCTAATTGTGATTTGTTCTGAATTTAGGTGATATTAGATATTTTTCGAAAGCAGGGTGGGAGCTACTGAGATGGATTTTTGGAGAGGAGTCATTTTTCACAACTTGGAGATTGTCACAGCAAAGACACAACCAAAGGTCAGCCAAAGATATTATAGGGAAACCCTGAAGACAGATAGGGTAGGACCCAATGTTCCCATGAAGACAAGAAGGTGTTGAATGCATCCAGGGCCCACACTGTTACAAACTTTAAAAATCAACACTGTCATCTTGCAACCAATCCACCATTTTGTGGGAAACCACTATAAGGAACACAGGCTGGCCTAATGACCTTGAATCAAAGCCTCATGAAATCAGCGGAAAAACATCTATAGACCTCAACAGGCTTTGCATGAGGTGCAATATGATGGACGTTTTTCCAATCAATGAGCGAATAGGCTCTCACCATCCATGCCAACGGCTGGACTTTTCTTGCAGATGGTATCAATTATCACCTTCAAACAACAGCTCCGACTCGTCGCAATAATCATTTGAAGCTACTAATCACCACTAAGGAGATGAGAGAGCTTGGAAAGAACCCAACTGGAGGAGTTCCTCATGGTAGCTTTAGTTCAGAATAAAGTGCTCCTTTTGGAGTGGCAGTGTTGTCCAGTGGCTATGGTGAATCAAGAGATTTGGCGCTAGAGTCACAAAAAGACTTAGGAGCCTGGCTGACATTTTGGGTGTCTAAATCCCAGAATCAGGCCTCACAGGGATTCTCCCCCTCCTCTCCCCCGATTATCTGTCCTCAGATGCTGTAGGTATCTAAATTTGCTTGGGGCCTACATCTTGGCAGTAAAAGTCCACTAGCCACCCTATGCATCTGCCTATTAGTATGTGCACTGTCCGGACACCTAAGCTCCAGGGTAATATTGTGAACCAGGAGAAGATAGGTGTTTCTCTGTCTAACGCACCTGAGCAGCCCAATCTGGTAACTCTGCTCAGAGCTCCCCGCTTGGATTGGACCCCTTCTTCATACAGAATGAAAGAATCAGCGGGTGAGAGAGGCAGAGAAGGTCTGGCTACATCACTCATCTTGGAGGTGGGAGACCTGGATCCAGTCTCCTTTCTCTGATGACCTTGTTTTATTATTTATCCACAGGGGACCAGCTTCAACTGGAGAGACTATGGGAGTCCTGCAGCAGAATGTCCCATGGTTCAAAGGCTGGAGCACACCCCTGAGAGGTGGCAAACCCTCTCTCCTTCCCAGCCAGAGGGGGGTTCGCCCCCATCCTAGGTGAATAAACAAACTGCTGGACTAAAAATGATGAAAGTGTTTGGCAGGCCCACTGCCGGGATGGGGGGAGGGAGCAAAAGAGCACCAGCGTCAAGCAATTCAAAAGGGCCGGGACTCCCAGCTGCTGTAACTTGCTATTGTGGCAATCATAGAATCATAACCTTGGGCGGTGCATTCTGGGTGGTGTTGAAGGGCTGGCAGAGGGAGGGGCTAACCCCAGCCTCACCCCTTCCACCTGAGGCCCCACCCCTTCCACCTGAGGCCCCACCCCTTCTGGGGGGCATGGAGCCACCACCCCATCTTGCCCAGCAATTTTGTCAGCCCTTCTGCTGCTGGCATCCTCTTGCATCCCCTTCCTCCCCCACTTCTTGCAAAAAGGGCATAGGAACCCAATGCCAAGGAGGTTTGCAGCTGAGACCCCAAAGCAAAGGAGACATCTCCATGCAGCCTAGACTTAGGTGTCATCGAACTCCCCAAGGGGAACAGAGTTGAGGACACAGCCCTAGCCCTGGTTAGCTTAGGCAAGGGAGGCACCTAGCATCCTGGCTTTAGTGATCCCATTCTGAAGAAGAGCCTGCCTCTCTCCAGGCATTGGACAGGGAGCTGAGACACTTAACTCAGGCTCTGTGAATCTCCAGGATGTTCCAGGTGCTAACGAGTTAGAGGTGGGGATGCTAAGCATTGCTGCACCTAAGTTTCTTAATTTCCGCATCAAAAGCTATGCATTGGACACATCCAACCCATTTAATTAGCCTCATTAACACAGGGCCATACAACTGACAAGTACTTCTTCTGCTGTTATATATATTTCTTGGTTTCTGTTATTTTCTCTCCAGTTCATCTGATGAAGGGGGTTTTGCCCATGAAAGCTCGTGATTCTATATATTTTGGTTTGTCTCTAAGTGCCACGGGGCCACTTGCTATTTCCTAAGTTTCTTGGTAAGGCTAGTCCATTTATAGCTTTGTTACTGACTTGCTGCATGACCTTGGGCTGTTTAACCATGTGTTATGCAATGCCCGATAGAACAGGGCAGTGATCTCCACTGGCGTCTCGATGAAATATCAGTAACAATTGGTCTCAGCTCTCTCTCTTCTATGCAAAATTTAAATTCCTTAAAGAACTGACCCTGTCCAACAGCTGTTGTTTTGCTGCTGGCTGTGACCACCAGAAGTCAGTAGACCAAGTTCTCTGTGCTTCGTTTTCCCCACCTACACACCTGGGATAATGATATCTCCTTTCTTAAGGCGCTTTGAGATAAAAAATGCTCTATGAGAGCTAGGAATTATTAGGAGTCTGAAGTGCTTGAAACCTCACAAAGCAGCTCTCTCTAATGAGAGTTGCAGGGCACTTTTGCAGATTGGAAAGGTTTGCATAGTTTGGATAATCTCTAGATAAGCATCTGAACTTTTGGATGCGTCTCTCGGCTGAATCTAAATTCCAAACGTGCTGAGATTTGCTTGTTGTCTCTGCAGACAGTATAAGCAAATAAAGAGTTGCACTGAATGTACTGTAATGAGCTGTCTGTACACCACTGCCCTCTACTGGAATGGAATCAGAGCTGCTGTACTGTGTGCCATAGGCCCCCTACTGCTAATTAATGACAAGGAGTGTCTGTTAGCTACAGTGGAAGGGGCCTGTGTTTTCATAGAATCATAGGGTTGGAAGAAACCTAGGGAGGTCATCGAGTCCAGCCCTCTGCCCAAAGCAAGACCAACTCTTTTGTGGAACAAGAGTATCCAAATTCTGTTCCCACTGTCACAGCGTTGCACAAATTGTCCATACTATGAAGAACAGTCCCAGGAGCACAACTAGCTGTTCTGGGGGGGCATGCAAGATATGACTTTGGGCTCCCCTCTTTTCTTACAGTTCATCTCTTGAGCATTACTGCTTAGCTAATGTTAATTATTTTACCCCCTCCCCTCAGTATACTAAAGAGTGACTAAATCTGCTTACATAGTTTTAATTGCGCCTAGTATTTCATTAAAAGAGCAACAAAAGAGTGACATTTTGCAAGCCAAAAATCAGCACTTCCCAAGTTATTAATAAAATCAAGTGTCCAGTCATTTAAATTTGAGAGCAATCACCTGTGTTACTTAATAGCACATAAAATGATCCACCAGTTATTCACCACAGAGATTTGAGACGTACCTTTTACCGTAAACAGCAGCATTAGAATACTTACAGTGATAGGCTCACGTGTCTAGTTTTCAAGCCAGCCCATGTGTTTGAGTCTTGTGCAAAGGGGGTGGATGTGCTAACTGGGTGGCTCGTGCAAGCTTATGCTTAATTGAAATGGCCAGCAGGCTTGTTAAAAGCTCTTGGTGCCTCACACTTTGGGGACCTCTGCTGTACAGTGTCCTAGACTGACTCAGTATTGCCTGGGTCCTTCAGGGTGGGGGGGTACAGGAATCAAGGCAGGGTCTTGGGGATGTTGGGGGCTCAGGGCTGTAGGCCAGGGCCATGGAGGATGCAGGAATCAGGGTGGGGGGTTGAGGAAGGCCTCAGGGCAGGGGATGAGGTGCAGGAATCAGGGCAGAGGGCTGGGGATGGGGGTCAGCGGAGGGAGCTGAGGGGGTAGGAGGCTCAGGGCATGGTGGTTTGGGGTGTTCAGGAATAAGGGCAGTGGATTGGGGATGGAATGCATGAATTGTGGCAGGAGGCTGGAGGTGGGGAGGTCAGAACAGGGGGCTGGAGGGATAGGAGTGAGTGTGTGTGGGGGGGGGCAAGGGTACCATTTCAGGAGAGTGGGGGGGGGCTGCGGGTGCACATACTGGGTTGCTGCTGCTGTTCCGCTTCCCCTGATGATCAGGGAGTGAAGGGAAGAGCTCAGCTTGTGTGAACTCTGCTCTACCCCTCCCTGGGGGCAGCCAGGAGCCGGAGGAAGGCACACACGCTGCACACTTTCCCCTCACTCCCTGACTGTTATGGGAAGGGAAGAGCAGCAGGGTTCCGGGTGCAGACAGCTGTATCCCCCGCTACCATCCCTAAAGGGTGCTGGGGAGGATCTAAAGGTTGGGGCAGCCCTGGACCGGGGGGCATGCATACTCCCAGCTAGCCCCTTTCACCTGCCTGGCTGCCTGCTTCTTACCATGTATGTTGAATAGTCATAGAGAGGTAGCCGTGTGAGTCTGATCTTGCTAAAACAAAAGGAAAAACTATGTAGCACTTTAAAGACTCACAAGATGGTTTAATGGGTGATGAGCTTTCATGGGCAGACCCACTTTCTCAGATCATATTCTGGAAGAGAATTGGCATGATCATATATACCAGAGGAATACAATGAAAAAAGTGAACACATTATTAAACTGACAAATCAGATTTAGTACAGAAGGTGGGGTGAGGGAGAGGGTGGGAGGGAATAGCTATTTATGAGTCAATGAATGGCTAATCAGGGGTGATAAGTGGGGAAGCTATAAGGGAGCTATAAGCTATAAGCTTCCCCACTTATCACCCCTGATTAGCCATTCATTGACTCATAAATAGCTATTCCCTCCCACCCTCTCCCTCACCCCACCTTCTGTACTAAATCTGATTTGTCAGTTTAATAATGTGTTCACTTTTTTCATTGTATTCCTCTGGTATATATGATCATGCCAATTCTCTTCCAGAATATGATCTGAGGAAGTGGGTCTGGCCCACGAAAGCTCATCACCTATTAAACCATCTTGTTAGTCTTTAAAGTGCTACATAGTTTTTCCTTTTGCTTCTTACCAAGGCAGCCTGCAGGAGTGCCCAAGGAACCCAGCTGGGAGCAGCTGTAGCTGAGCTCCTCAGCCAATCAGCAGCCTCTTGCCAAAGCACCAGCTTCCACATCTGGATTTGGGCCCCTCTGTGACTAGGGGCCCTCATGCACGGCCTGTCCTGTATGCCGCCTAGTTGCACTCATGAAGCCAGGAAGTCCTGGGTGGCCACAGATTTGTTCCAATGCTTGATCACCAGCGCACCCAGACAATACATGCAAATAAAAGCAAACATGCAGTGGTTGCTTTGGTTTCCAGATCTAAAATCATTTTGTCAGAGTTAAATGTCCTAAGTGAGCAGGAGGAGTTTCTATGTTCCACCACCACCATTAGGCCAGATTTTTTTTTTCCTGGAGCCCCTTCAGCTGTGGGATACCAGTGAGCGTGCCAGAAAGAGAAAATTCTTCAGTGACGTAAACGCAGTAATGACACTTGTTAGTGGTATGTGCTTTCTTTGCCAGCGGAGAGGAAAGAAAATCAGATTTTGTTCAACACAGTGTCTCGATATTCCCTCTCATTAAAAAAAAAAAAGAGCCCAAACAAAACCCAAGCTTTTCCATATAGTTTACTATGTCCATGGACTCAATTTAGTAGCTTTGCATGTTCTTAGATAAAGATTTGGTTCATTAAAGTTTACAGAGTTACATTTAATTGACAGGCTGCCCTGAGTTGTTAGAACCGAGATCTCTCTGTAAAGTTCTAGACAGCCAGGACATTAATTGCATTATTTTCTTTGCAGATAAAACGTATGTGGTGGAGCCAGCATCGTCAGATAAAAAATAGATAAGATCAAACCTTGTCTTTAAATTGCAGATCTCCTGCCCTGAGAAAATATGGGTCTCAGATTACACTGTAGGTTTTAATAGGCTTTGGAGATTTTGCCTAAGCATAATGGTAAAAAATGTAGATCTCCAAGATCCTGGAGGAGCAGATGCACTGTGTTTGTGTGGTAGTCAGCAGTTTCAGATAAGGGGCAGAGGGTATTCTGGTCTGTTCACTGCTTTGCTCAAGTTTTCCACATAAAAAGTGCACTCTCTCCTTCAGGAAAAGGACTGTAGTCTCTTTAATAAACATGAAAGTTGGCCCTTATGCCCAGTCTAATTCTCCACGCAGTCTGTGATCCAAAACATTCTTCCAAGGGGAAAAAAAGGGGGGATGGTGCAGGAAAGATTGAGTAAGGGAGTAAAGATGTGCTCTGGAAAAACACAGCTGTAGTTATAGGAGGGGAATTAATCTTGAGAAGCCTTCTGTAGCAATTTCATCCATCAACCATGACAT